AGTTCATTTGATAAACAAATGGCAGCCAATCACAATATCGATAGGCTGCTCCCTGGGATTTGTAGAACTATTTGTTTTAATAGGTCAAAAGATTTTTTATAAAATTCCTCTTCAAATTCACTTCTTTTATTTTATTTTTTATCGGTTTGCGATAATCATAAAGAAGTTCAATATTGTATTATTAGTTGTACAAACATCCTCAATACTTTCTGTTCGATATCGCTTATTTAATTGAATGCCATGCCAGTAACCTCGATCCCCGGAGTGTACACTGTTGGCCAGCTGCCTTAATCATTCCCGGCCGAATGCTCTTAATTTGGATTCGTCGCTTCGCAATCTTCCTCTAATTATACTGACAAATGATTTCGACAAAATATTCCTGTCGTTTCAGCAACAAAAAACCGTTAATCTGACAGATTAACGGTTTCAATTTCTTCTTCATTTATTTTTTCAAAATGATTCTTTTTATAACTTACATTCATCTGCTCAGTACTGATACGACGCATTTTCCTTTCCATTTTCTTACTGTCTATAACTCGAAGTCCGTTGTTAAAACCATATGCTTGCTCTTAGGTTTAATCCAATAAACTGACTTATAGCACCTCTGCCGCCAAATGAAGTTAATCTATAACTTTCTCTCCTCATCATTTCTTCTTTTAATAATGTGCATTTTTTAAACTAATACTCCAAATACACCTCTCCCACAATACCAGTCGGCTCTTGAATCAGGTACTGAGACAAATAATCTTGTTGTTCTTTAACTAAAGTGTTCGTCACTTCAATAATTAACAGGTTATCTCCCACTTTAAGGCATTCGTTAACATCATACGCGTAAGGTGGACAAATTCGCGTTCCAAGATCATGACCATTTAACCAAACTTGCGCCACCTCAAAAGCCTCTTTAATAATTATCTTTGAAGCATCAGGTACTTTCTGAATATCAAATAATAACTCATAACGAACTGTTCCCGAAAAAGAAGATAGTGCACCTGGAAGCGCTAAAGAGTGAAGTTCTCTAATATTTCCATACTCTATAAACTTAGGATACTCCGTTGCATTAGCAATGGAAATTTTCCATAGTCCTTGGATCGCTTTGAATCCTGTCCTTCTCTCACTGTAATCTGTGATATTTCCTGAAAAGGCTAGTAGAGAGTCGCTCAGGACAACAATCACTGACTGAAACTTCTCAAGTTTAAGATGGAATGAAATTTTTCCATCGCGATTAAAAGCTTTTAATAGGTTAAGCTGATTCAAGAATGCGTCATAAATAAATATTTGCTGATTATCACTCAGACTCGGAATCTGAATTTCAGTCTCGATCGTTTTGAAGGGGTCCTCATTGAAAAACATATATGCTTCTCCATCTAGATGCGCGTAACGATAATATCTTAAATAAGGTTGATAATTGGATAAGGAAATGTCACTGACTTCCTCAAGTTTCAGTTGAGCCGAAAGCTGCTCAAGGCTCACAATGTTTTCGCCAGATATTTGCCTTAGCTTTTCATAAAAATTCATATCCAATACAACATCATCACTTGTGCGAGTTGGTAGTTCGTTGATAAAAAATACCTTTAGTCCTGCCTCTACAAAAAGTAGCAGTTGTGAAAGAAAACTAGCAGGTAACGCTTCAGCGTATGGAATAATCAGCGCCTTAAATTGTTCATTATGAACAATAAGCTTATTTTCCTCTACTCGCGCATTTGTGATCAAATCAATAGGTACTACATCAAAATCAATTTGATGTTGCATCAATTTACGTGCAGGCTTCTGGAATAACATATATTCTCCCGACCATTCAGCTTCACCATGATAGAGTACAGCAACAGGTGCGATATGCTTGCCATCTGATAACAAATGACTAATCCTATTCATGTATTGTGTTAATAAGCCTAAATAACGATATTGGGGATCAAAACCATTAGCATATAAGTGCGGCGGACAATCACTATCCGGGTATTTCTTAGGAGAAAAAGCATGTGGCACGAAATAATTAATCCCTCGCACCAACATGTGGTCTGTAATCCATTTCATCAGTTTCAGACCTTCTCCAAACCCGTATGCCCCGTAAACCTCACACATTGTACGTCCATTTTTTTTCGGATCAAGATGACCTAGCGAAGCTCCCATTTTTGCTAAACCATAATGAAAAAACTCTCCATCCCATCCCGTCGAAGTTATTGACTTGAAATATCCATCGTCTAGCCCAGGAATTATTTGATGAAGCACTACATCAATACCCGACATATCCTGACCCCATAGACTACGATAGTAATGCCCTGCTCCATATCCCAATCTTGCATGGGCATTGTTATCTTCTATAACATGTCCAATATATTCAACTTCATGAGTACGACACCAGTTTCCAATACGTTTTGTGAAATGTTCTCCATATAAATTTGTTATTATATCCATATAATGGTATCTAAAACTATGGCTTTTGGTACCGGCATTTACCCAGAGTAAAGGAAGATAGCGAACCACATCTTCTTCTTCAATAGATTGTGCAATACTAAGTATCTCCACTAAATCCTTTCGCCAAGGAAGCACCATGTCGAAACGACCGATCGAGGCTGAGGGACCTTTCACATTACCAAAACGTGGTTCATCTGAGAAGAAACCAGCAAAGGTAGCTCCGAAATCATTTTATATTTTTCGTAATGAGCTTCATAAACTGTATTAATTAGTACATCCGTTGCCTCTGGCACAAGCGGATTAAGATAACCATTTGTCACCTTCTCCCCACCATTCTTCGTTTCAACTAATGTAAAAATACGCCATCGACCTTCTGGAATGTCCCAATACACTACGCCTTCGTGCAAGTTAGTTGTTAAATCAATTAATGAATCTGCATCTATTTCATCCGGACCGGTTTTGCGTGCAGCAACAATTCCGATGATTTGATCTTGATGTTCCTTTTTCGTTGTCATGCTCATTTCGGATTTCCTACCATCAGAACCAATTAGTGCATACTTTATCATGATTCCACCTTGTTTTTGGGGACCAGCAAAGTCCTGCTGATGCAACTTTAAATAAAGCTTTTCATACGCTGGATAATCTGATTTGATACGACCAGCGGCATAACCAGTAGGAAAACGTGCATCGTCTACAATCCATACCTTCATCTCTCTTTTGCGTGCTTCATCCATAATAATATCTAAATCATGCCACCATCCAGGGCCAATAAAATCAGGGTGAGGTCTTGATTCTATACACACCGCCCCAATGCCACTCTCATGGATTACTTTCATGTACTTACGTAAAACACTTTCTTCCTCTCCATGTTGCCAAAAGAAAGGGAGAATATGATTTTTTTCCTTTTTATTCAATAGTTCAGAAATTTTTTTCATTACAAAAAACTTCCTTCCAGTTTAAAATCTTAGATTAACATATTATTAACAACCTTAGAAAAATGGAGTTGCTCAAATCTCACGTTATTTAACTTTTTTAAAATGAGCCCAGTGCTTGTCCTAACAGTAGGAAAAGCACTGGGCTCTTAATACATACAAACCCTAATTTCAATAATTCAGAATCGCTATTTTTCTATTTTCAATATAATCAATGATCTTGCAACAAAGGTAAAATGTATAATGATGAATATGCATATTCGAAGGAGTAGTACAGTATGTTCATATGGCTATAATCAAGCCGTTTACTAGCTTCTTAAAGACACAAGCTTTACCACTTCATCACCAGGCTCTACATCCTTATCGATCAGTGTTTCCACATTGTTATATGAACCTGTATCACAGATGACCAGAGGGGTAATAATCTCTTTACCCGCCTCTTTAATCTTTCCTAGATCTGCCACGATCAAGAGATCGCCCTTCTTAACTTTTTGCCCGTTTTTAACCTTAACGCTGAAGGGTTCGCCCTTCAACGAAACAGTGTCCAACCCAATATGAATTAAAAGTTCTACTCCGTTAAGTGACGTCATTGCCACTGCGTGCCCAGATCGAACAATAGAACTGATCATACCATCCAAAGGCGCATAAACACGCCCATCCGTTGGAATCACGGCGATACCCCTGCCCATCAGCTCTTCACTAAAGGCTGGATCTGGTACCTCCTTGATACTCAGGCATCTTCCTTTCATAGGTGAACCAAGCTTCATTACACTATCTTTCTTTCTAAAAATATTTAAAAACCCCATTTTGATTACCTCCTTATGTTTCATCTCTTATCACGCTGTTTCATCCCTTTAACAATATCATTGTAAGTAATCAGCTCTACATTATTTTCTTTGACCCAGTTGACAATCTCCGAACTGGTCACCGCATCCAGATCATTTATACGATAAATATTATAGCTAGAAATATCCATAAGCTCTTTATCCACATAACCCATATGTCCAACGATGATGCAGTATTCTTCTGCTAGCAAGGCTTTGGTGTGTTCCAGAATGTAATTCTTCAATGAAGATTTTAACTGATTCTCTAAGGAAGCCGGTTTGATATACCAATCAATTTTATTTGATAACATTTCATATCCCAAAATATGCCTCCAGGCATCGGATGTATATATTACATCATATTTCTTTGACAGTTCCCGCTGAACCAAAATGGTCCGATCTGTTCCATAGGCATGGGGATGAATATAGTCCGGCTTTCTTCCAATCAATTTTATAAATTTCTCTATCTGCGCTTCGAACTCTTTGTAGATATCTTCATAGGAAATATGATTAAATCCATTTTCCTGTGTGTCCAGCTTTCTCCTCTCCCAACTGGAATAGAACAATCCATCTACTTTCACCAACGTAGGAATTTCTTCTAGCGGCAGAACTGGAGAACCTGTTGTAATATTAAGATCAATTCCTAATGAAATCTGGCCCAGATAGGGTCTGATCCATGCTGCACACTCTTCAGCAAAGGGCATGTTGGTAAACATCCCCGTGTTTCTGATGATTCCATGTTCAATTCCGAAAATAATCCCCCTCGAAACCGCTCTTGTCATTCCATAATCATCCGATTGTAACAACAGCTTCATAATTTCATCCCCGTTCAGTCCAAATCCTCGCCATTAGTAGCAATCACCTTTTTGTACCAGTGAAATGATTTTTTCTACTCCTCTTTAACGTCCCATTTCCCAGATCATCACGATCCACATAGATAAATCCGTACCGTTTAGACATTTCACCGGTTGCAACTGATACCAGATCAATAGGTCCCCAGGTGGTGTATCCCATCAGATCAATTCCATCCAATTCTACCGCATTCTTCATCTCCCTAATATGATCCCGTAGAAAATCGATGCGATAATCATCTTCCACATAACCGTTCTCATCCGGCTCATCAATCGCACCCAATCCGTTTTCCACCAGAAACAGCGGCTTCTGATAACGGTCATAAATTTCATTCATGGTGATGCGAAGGCCCAGAGGGTCCAGATGTCTGCCCCATGGCTCCATCTTCACATAAGGATTTTTGGCGGACTTTAGAAGATTCGAATCGTATTTACCCTTATGTCCGTCTTCAACCACTCGGGTGGAATAATAAGAGAAGGAAACAAAATCAACCAGATTTTCTTGAAGAATCAAAACGTCATCTTCCATAAAGGGAACGGTGTATTTATTTCGTTCAAACTCCTTCCGGACATAGGCAGGATAGTACCCCCGAACTTGTACATCGGAAAACATATAATGCGTGCGGTTCTCCTCTTGAGCAGCCAATACATCTTTGGGATTGCAAGTCATGGGATAATATATTCCGGCGTTAAGCATGCACCCAATCTGAGCATCTGGGTCTATCTCGTGACAGATTTTCACCGCCCATGCACTAGCTACCAGCACATGATGAACGGCGTTGTAAATCGAGGTATAGCGGTCCTCTCCTTCCTCAAAAATGATACCTGCCGCCATAAAATAGGCCTTTGTCATGATATTAATCTCATTAAATGTTAACCAGTATTTGACCAACCCTTTATAACGCTCAAACAAAACAGTAACCAACCGCTTATAGCAGTCAATCACCGTACGGCTGCGCCAGCCTCCATAGGTGGTGACAAGATGCATGGGAATATCGTAGTGCGTTAAGGTCACCAGCGGCTCAATACCGTACTTGTGGCATTCTTTAAAAATATCCTCATAAAATTTCAATCCTTCTTCATTCGGCGCAGCATCGTCACCATTGGGAAAAATACGACTCCAAGCAATGGACAGACGCAATGTCTTAAACCCCATCTCCCCAAAAAGCGCAATATCCTCTTTATAACGATGGTAAAAATCAATACTTTCTAAAGTAGGATAGTAATGATCTTCATCAGGTTCCAACATCACCATATCGCCAACGATTACCTGCATACGGTCTCTCCCGTGAGGTAGTACATCTGCATTGGCCAATCCGCGACCACCCTCCTTGTAAGCACCTTCCCACTGGTTAGCAGCAGTCGCGCCACCCCATAAAAATCCATTTTTAAATGTCATCCTCTTTCCTCCATATCAATTTTTTGTTTTCTTTACTTCCTTCAAAACCAAATATCATCCCCAGGACAAAGGTGACTCCTACGGCTACCAGGGAACCGATGGTACCACTAACGATATCCGGACCAAAACGCAGCACATTCATAATAGGAAAACCAACGCCAGTCAATATGTGGACATTGGCCCCGAGTAGACCCATTACAAGGCCGCCTGAAAATCCGCCAATCATGTACCAGGCAAGTGCTTTTTTATCCCGCAGTAAAATACCGTAAATGATAGGTTCGCTGACTCTGCCCAGCATATAGGTAGAGAATGTGCTCCAGCCAAGTTCCTTGTTCTCCTTTGATTTGGCACGTAGGGCATAGACGAGTGCAAGCGCCATGATCGCATAAGCCTGTGCCAGGGTGCCTGGGTAGAGGATCGGGTCATAACCAACCGTTATTATGGCGGGTAACATCGCTGTAAAAATAGGTACATGCATACCGGTTGCGATGATTAAAGCCCAAGTGGCTCCAATTACAGCAGTGGCAAGTGGCCCAGCAACATCGGCCAACCAGACGATGAAATCTGCTACATATCCCATAACGATATCGCTTAAGGGACCTAGGACACAAAACGCAAGTGGCAACATGATGAACATAGTTAGAACTGGGATAGCGACAATACGCAGCATATCAGGTATGACCTTCTGCAACCACTTTTCAACGCCAGCCATGATCCAGACAATCAGGATAATAGGAAGTACAGCCTTAGTATAGTTAACCAGCTGCATCGGGATACCAAAGATGGAAAACGGTTGACCCGCTTCTACAATACCGAGAATTTCTGGATGAATCATAATTCCAGACAGCAGCAAGGCAAGAACCGGATTTGCACCAAACTTTTTAGAAGCACTATATGCGGTAAATATAGGGAAGAAGTAAAAACCGGAATCTGCCACCAGGTTAAGCAGACGCAGTGAGTCACTTCCCTCCACCAAAAGGTTGAAGTTCTCCGGTCCCAACAGAATCGCAAACATCTTAAACATACCAGCAACAACGAAGACTGGGAGTATAGGAGTAATACAGGCGCTGATCGCTCCTAAGATGGCATTACCGACACGCTTGGGTTTGTACCTTTCCCTTAGAGGCTCCTTCGGCTTATCAATTTCCTCGTTTATAGAAGTTTGTATTTCAAAATTTCCGACCTTGCAGATCTCTTTGTAAACTTTATCAACTGTTGTACCAATGACGATTTGTACCTGGCCACCTGCATGGATGACTTTAATGACCTTTTTGTTCGCTTCCAGCACATCATCTTTTGATAGACTTTCATCCTTTAAAACAAAACGAATCCTAGTCATACAATGAGTAACAGAAGCAACATTTTCCTTACCACCGACTGCTGCCAGAATTTCAGAAGCAGTTTTCTCAAAGTTTGACATGTTCCAACTCCCCTTACCATTTTTTATCTTTAAAGCGGGCGCGCTCCGCAGTAAATTCCTTAAAAGGAACCCCCAACATACACGGTCCTACACATCCAAAATAAAAAGACCCCCAATATTTACGGCCAAAGATACCGTATAATATGGAGGTCATGCCCTGCCTTTCAGGTTACAGTCCTGTTTTAATGCATATTTAGTTAATATACAAAATTAAACAAAGTTGTTGCTCATAGAAAAAATAAAAATAACCCCGACATTTACGGTAAAAGATACCGTATATTATGGAGGTCATGCCCTGTCTTTCAGGTTACAATCCTGTTTTTGACACATATTCGATTGATATGAAGCATTAAATAAAGTTTTTCCTCTTCGGAAAGATCAGCATTCCATTCCTTCGCAATATGCCTGTTGATAATCTCTACACAATTCGAAATATCTGGGAACTCTTCTCGGAAACTATTGTACATTTTTAAATTAGCACTGTCAATTGATTTATTACTCTTTATACGTTGAAAGAGATACTGCAAATGCGTTGCACAACGAGCATAGTCGAAAGATTCCCGATCCACAATAATGTGAAACTCATTTTCCACAATTTCAGTGATTTCCTCTAACATATCTCCATACTGTTCCGCCTCGCTTTGTTCCATATCAGCACTGTGAATTACCTTCGCATTAACCAAATTCATAGCAATGGCTGCAATTTCCTCCCGGGGCAACATAAGGCGAAATTGTTTGCGAATTTTTTCTACTATATATTTTCCGATTTTATACTCCAACGGAAACATTTGCTGCACATCATATGCGAGCGGCATTTTCACTCTTAGATTTTTTCTGGTTCTCTCAATTGCAAACGCGATATGATCAGCCAGAAGAAGTATTGCATTGGGACTTAATACATATGGCAGTTCGTTTGATGCAATATCCATTATTTTGGCAGTGAAAATGACGACTTCAGAGGGTAAATCCTTCATAATATTTTGCCCATTCAGGTCAATATTATAGAAGGTACGTTCAATTTCTGAAAGCGAAATCTCACGGGGCAGATCTCCAAAACCTAGGCCTTTCCCCATAGCGATCAGTTCACAGCCTTTGCTATCCATACAAATCACAACGTTATTGTTTAATTTCCGTATTGCTCGCAGAAATTCCCCCTCCTAGCCTCTATCCAGGAAAAAGATAACGGTTACAATAAAAGAAAAATAAATTCTAAATCAAACCTTCATGAATTGTTCCTTTACACATCTGATAGTATTGCCTCCGGAGAGTAACAAGCTATACAATTATATAATATCACAAATAAAGCATAGTTGTCACTATCTTTGATAAAATTCGACATTGTGTTTATTAACCACGCAGCCTCTCATGATTTAAGAATCAGTTAGATATTTTATTCTCTATGCAAATTCCCAGAGCTTTTGTGGGTATACAAGTGAAAGTACAGGAGACAGAGATGATTTTTTTAACTGCTGTTGTCTACATGAACAATTTTCTCTACTCTAGTACGTATAATGGATTCACAACTTTCCCCTTCTCATTTTTTTATGTTGTAGCTAAAATATAAAATATTCTCAATCACAATCTCGAACAGAAGAAGTACATCCATTTAATAAGAAAAATAACTGCTAACAGACGACCTAGAATCACTCCACTAAACGATATTCCAAATTAGTCGTAGCTATAATCAAATCAATTATGCCATTCCACTTTGTCTCAAAGTGTACAGATGAGGCATATTTTCTCTGAGTTTTATTCAATAAGACTCCGCTATCGCTCTTTTTAAGGTCCGACAAGGTCACTCCTCCCTCTCTCTGATTAACATTTAGATGTCTTCATTGTGGATTTCCTCACAACGAACCATTAATTTATATATAGGCACATAATTTGAATCATTTGATTCAATCTCCGTCAATTAGATTAAAACAGTTCCAAGCCTAAAGAAATGAATCCTGAACCTAATCCTGTTCTCATCGGATTTAGGTTCGTGTTTTCTACTCTACGCTAACCTGCCCATTAGTTGAACAAAGCAGCCGATCAGAGTGATCAGCTGCTTTGTTAGTTCTATTACACTATCGTTTCCCGCTAGTTCAATGATTCTTTAAAAAATATTCTCTTCTCCCTCATCTACATCAGAGTACCGATTAAAGACCGATTGAAAATTATCGCGTTCTATCAAATGGTCCATAAATTATCCAATTCTTCCCCGGCTTATGAAGTCAATTAACACCATTTCGCTAGAACAGAAATATGCACCGTTCATGCACTCACCAGATTGTATATTCTTCTCCCTTAACGTCTGTATATTTGGGTAAGTGAAAAAGCTAGCACCCCATCTAGAGCGAGCCGGAAACACTACAATAATATCCGTATTAGTATCATTAATGTCCCATGAGCCTACAGGCCAAATTTCAGCTTCTATCCACACGTGACGATCCGAACAGCGCATGCTAGTCTCCTTTGAAAAGTTGTTGGGCTAGTTTCCCGTCAGCGAAATCCCCCAACAACCATTTTTCTAAGCCATGCATTTACTGGAGAAAAGGATTGTCTTGTGACGGAGTTAAACCGATAAACTCCTCGTTATCTACAGGTTTTAAACTAATTAGCTCTTCTCCAAACTGCTTGTTAAGCTCTTCGACTTCACTGTCCGTTAGTTCTGCCTGCACAACAATTTTCCCAATATCAGATTCGTAATATATTCTTTGTTTTTTCCCTGATACATTGTGTTCAACATGGTCTACTACCGATTTCAATAATGCCTGCAACTCACTTGAAGAATATTCGGATAATTTGGCATCTTTTACTGAGGTATTTACGCCCAGAAAACTACACCCCGTAACCAAAGAAACGTACACAAAAATTAAACACAAAACAAAAATATATTTACGCATCATAACCCTCTATAATACTAATTATAATATCATCTAACTAGTAGACTAGAAAGACTCAGTACATGTATCTATCTTTCCGCTTCAGAAAACAAAAAGCCGCCAATTTGGTATTATCCCCTTTTAGTAGACATGAGAAAAAAGACATCTGTTAAGATGAACTTAATCATGTAAACGAAGGGGATTTTTTCATGGCTAAAAAAGGACAAACATACCGGCGGTACTCCTTGGAGTTGAAATTGGAGGCCGTCCGGCTGGTCAACGAAGAACATATGAGTATACGTGAAGTAGCGACGCGTTTAGATATTCAAAATAAATCTCAGGTACAAGTGTGGGCAGCCAAAGCGAAACAGGGAATGAGTCTAAAACCTGCTACACCCAAACGGGGACGCCCTAGAACCAAGTTTTCCAGTATGGAAGAAGAGATGGCGTATTTGCGGGCGGAAATTGAATACTAAAAAAGCAGTATCCAAATCTACACAAGGAGTGACGAGTAAGCAGCCAGATTTCAAATCATTGAGGACTGAGAGCACGCCATGGTCTGGCTTGGCTCTTAAAGTTAGCTGCGGTTTCCCGCTCAGGTTATTACAAGTGGAGAAAAAGCATAGCAGCAGCAAAAGAGCGTAGACACAAGGAACATGAACTAGAATCCCATTTGCTTGCCATCCATCGCGTGCATCCTTACTTAGGCTATCTTCGAATGACAGTTGCTTTACGACGGGAAGGCCTTCGAGTCAACCACAAAAAGGTGTACCGATTAATGAAACAATTAGGCATCTCTTCTGTCATTCGAAAAAAACGCCGATTCTTTGGAAAACAAGCCTCTGTGGTGAACCCGAATCGGCTTGAGCGCCAGTTTCGGGCGGATACGCCACGAACGAAGCTGGTTACGGACATTACCTATATTCGTGCTGGAGAACATTTTGTGTATCTCTCTGTTATTCAGGATTTATACAATAACGAAATTGTTGCATGGCATCTTTCTGAACGAAATGACCTTGCTTTGGTTCATGAAACGCTGGATAAACTCCGTCAGCACGTGGATCTGAGTGGTGTAATCCTACACTCGGATCAAGGATTTCAATATACGTCGAAGCCCTTTAACCGTAAACTGAACCAGCTCAGCATGCTAGGGAGTCATTCCAGGCGTGGAAATTGCTTAGATAATGCCTGTACCCGAGTCTTTTTTCTCCCATTTGAAGAGTGAGAAAATTTATCTGAACAAGGCAGCAAACAAAGCAGAGGTTGAACAGCAAGTAAGCGAATATATATTGTTTTACAACCAAAACCGATTTCAAAAAAACTAAACGACCGTTCCCCGGTAGAATACCGGGAAACGGCCGCAGCTTAAATTTTGTCTTTTTAGAACTGTCTACTTGACGGGGTTATGACCAATTTAGCGACTTATACAAAAGGGTTTTACTTTTTTAATTGAATGATCTCCTGTTCAGTGAGCCCAGTTGCCTTAGCGATGGTAGATATATCCAAATTCAAATCGAGCATATTTTTGGCCACTTCAGTGATACCCGCTTTTCGAGCTCCTTCGAGCATTGACGCTTCATCATGTAAATACTTCTGACGCGCTTCGTACAAGCGACGGGCTTCGGAATCCTGGCTCAAAAATTGCAAGGTATCCATAGCCTTCTCTAATCCTGGTTCATTCATCTTCAGCACCTCCCAATGTGTAGTATCCACACCCTTCAGAAACAACAACCAGTTCTCAAGACCACCTTGTGATGGAATAACGTCATCTAACTTAGGTAATTCCAGAAAATGAATTTCGATATCATCAATTAGGGTTAAACCTGTCCGGTCTTCTCTCAGATGAAATGTACTATGGTAATCATCGTTGGCTAAAAAGGCATAGTTCAGGATATTAATTGTGACGCATTTTTTCAACTCCTGGTACTTCTCTCCCTCATGAAGTTGACTGGAATAGCGTTTACTCCAATAAAATAACGTTCTTTTCTCAATGTCGTACTTATTAAATAGCTGCATTTCAATATCAATCAGTTTTCCCTCTGAGGTTTTTGCATAAACATCAAAGATGGATTGCTTATCCAGCGGGTCATCTTTGTCCGTGTAAGGATTCATGAGGATGATCTCTGTAAGTGGTGGATCTCCTGCTTCAGTAAGGACTCGATTCAGAAATGCCAGTAATACGTCTTTATTATTTTCACTGCCAAAGATACGTTTGAAGACAAAATCTACTCTGGGATCAAGCAATTCCATAACAGCAACTCCATTCTCTATACACTTCCATTATACCAAAAATCAATGCGTTCAAAGCAAATTTCATGCAGGCACCAACCTATTTATGCCTGGCCAGCATAAGGTTTGTATTCACCAATTGTGTTTAGGGGAACATTTACGGTTGCCATAGCTCTTTTCTTCTGTTCATCATTAACGTGCGTATAAATCATAGTTGTTTCAATCGAAGAATGCCCCATAAGTTCCTTCACAACACGTATATCTACATCATTTTTCAGTAACATGGTGGCAAAAGAGTGCCTTAATTTATGGCATGAAAGTTTCATATCACTAACATTTGGATTACCTTTCTTGAATGCTTCAAATGTGAGATTAACGATTTTCTGTATCTGCCTAATGGATAGTCTGCGTCCTTTCTGAGATACAAAGAACGCTTCTTCCTGAAGTTTGTAAGGAGAAATCCTATCCTTTTCTACCTCCAGTAGATAGTTCAGTAATACGTCTGGTACAGGTATCTCATTCCACTTTCGACCTTTCCCAAACACTTCAATCGTTCCTCTAGTTTTTTTCAAATCCTTTACATTCAACCTGTGAACTTCCCCTACTCGCAGTCCACAATAGGCCATAAGTAAAAATATCGCAATGTTCCTGTTTTTATAGCGTCCCTTAATATATTTAAGGCTCTCGGATAGATCCTCTTCCTCCAGGTAGATCGGTTTCTTATTTTTTTCAGTTTTAGACTTTTTCACTTCAGCAGCCGGATTTTTTGATGCAAGTTCAAAATCAATCAGAGCCATATAGAATGTTCGAATGGCAGAAAGAGATCTATTACGTGTTTTATCACCAGCTGAACCCTGCTTGTCACTTAGAAACTCCATAATGTGCAATTTCCCTGCATCTTGGGGTAACGATCCATTTAACGAGTCTAAAAAGATCAGGCTTTCTCTCATATACTCTTTTTGAGTTGATGTCGTATATCCGGATTGTTTTAGATAAATTCGAAAAGCCCGAATTTGTTCGCTATACAAATCCTCGAGTTCATATCGGTTACGCATTTTCGCTCACTCCGGTCTCGTTTAAACACTAATTTAGATGAGAATTCTCGTTGAACAATTTCAAAAAAAAGCACATCTATTTAATACTATTAATTGAAATAAAAGGTCATTTTCAAGAGGGAAGTTCACCTACAATGAGTCTACTACATACGTTAAAATCTGTTTAAATTAAAAGTGCGTAAAATTCATATTTGGCGCTATTATTATAGCACATATGTTTCTTAATTATGTTAAGTACATTACTTATATACTTAAATATCCCCAATTAAGTAACAAGCAGCCGATTACATTAGTTTGCTACTTTTTTTGGTTCTTAAACTATTATAATTTCCTGTTAGTTGAATAGTTGTAACTTTGACAGGCGTTTTTGATTTGCTCAACTAACGGGTAGTTTGAGACAAAACAAAGTATGTACAACATAAAGCGCAACTGGCCTTGATTAGCGAGGTTTATTTTTACCCAAGTGGAATCATTATGGTACTAAAAGGAGGATGTATAGAATGAAAGGTGATGAAACAAGCGTTTTAATATATGACGTTTTTAGTGAGAGTCATCGCAAGCGGTATATTAACGACACGTAGTTTCTACAATGAATGATGTTCTGAATGACAGAAACCTCTCATAGCTGCTCTTATTTGATGATACCAAAGGGAAACAACATACAAGCTTGGAACATTTGTAACAACAGATCCATATCATCAATTAATACGACTTCTAAAAGAGACACCATCTGAACGTATATGTAGTATGGATCAAAAAGCGCCAGTTTCACGATACTATCGTGAGCCGGCACTTTTTTATTCATTGTCTGTTGTTATCAGCAATATTTATATGAGTCAAGAATCTTATAGAGGATTCATGATTCATCGGAGAACAGGATGTTTTTTACGTTTCCATGCCTCCATCTTGTAGAAAGCAACCACAAAACATGTACCTTTATAGACCAACCATTGAAGAAAATTAGGGCGTCGGATCTCTATTAAGACATTTATTTTTTTAGCTAGTTCACGAAGCCGTTCTTCGTCGTAATGATCAGTATATAATAATACACTCCCCCCTTTTTTCAGAGCTACTCGTCGAGTTCTTACCGCTCTTAAGGCAATCGTATTCCAATCCGTGACGGATCCAATATGAAACTCAAACGTATTAAATAACCGATTGTACCATATACCGTGACCATATTTTTTGTAGGAGATAGTCACTTCAACAATAGTATATATAGCAGTAGCTAGCATAATAAAAAGAGGGGTAAATGTACCAAGAATGTTAGCTTTAGAAGCAAAGAACATCCCGAAGACAAACATAATAAATGATACCGCCAATAAAAACTCTATTATCTGCATTTTTATTTTCACTTGTATTACTCTCCCTTAGTGATTTGTTTAGAGTTATGACTTTCATATACAGCATCAAGCAGGTCTCTAAGGCGCCCTTTCTCTGTTCTTCCTCCTCCTATGTACTGACACTTCATTAAGTTGAATACCAACCCGTCATTGTAAAATACGTGTAAGTCCTCTTCCTTTGTATAGTGATTGTACTTGCCCACCACATAATAAAAGAAATTATCGCCTATGCATTTAAAAGTAGCAGCATTACCACCCGTAGGTTGACTTGGTTTGTAGATATTATGATTTGCCCCCATTTCTTTGAAGTTATCAATGATAACGTGGAAAATAGCATAAAAGTCCAATGATGACTCTGAATCCATTCCCACACTTTTGACTTCTACTAGATTGTTCTTTACTAGATAAGTTAAATACTTAAAATGTATACTAGTTGACCATTCAAATGGTCGACTCATTTCTTCTGCATACTCCATCTGAATTGCCCAGTGAGTAGCGTGGATCCAGGTGCAATCATTTTCCTCCTTAAATTGAATAGCTTTCTGAAAAGTTTCTAAAGCCCTCTTATCAAAGCGCTCATTGTTACTCATCAATTTTAACTTTTGAAGCTCGCTTCGAAAATTATCGACAGTACCTCTCTTTTGAGCTGTTTTCTCCATTACATCATTTACAGTATACATGTTAAATCTCCTTGTTAAGTGAATTTAATTAGTCTAATTACAATACAATCAGACTATCATAACAATGATGTGCTTATTACATAAATCGCTATCGTTATAAAATTCATCCCATTAAATATCCTGAAAATGAAAAAATCAGCTCATTAAGAACTGATCAATCTACATTTTTCTAATAAGTACTATTGGCCAAAACGGCTGAAGCTTCATCAAATAGCTTACGATTTCTTCGAGGAAGCTCGATTTTGAACCCGTTTGTTAATTCAATGATATAGTTGCCATGAGTGTTGGCACTAGCATAAACGCGATCCACAAAATTTAAATTTATAATGCTTGATTGGTTAGGCATCATCAATACATTTGAAGGTTGAGACGCTATCGATTTCAATGAACTGGTTGTAAAGAAATCTTTCCCTTCCCCCTCTATATGCACTAAGGACCGATGTTCTCCTTTCAATTTTACAATCGCTATTATATTGTGTTCATTAAAGAGAACTGTTTTGTATCCTGACTTTAGCCGAATAAGGTGACCTTGCGTTGAATAATGTATCAGTAAGTCACGCTCACGCGCTTCAAGAACATCATTTATTTTTTCATTGAATTCTTTTTGAGATACTGGCTTTGTCAGGAAAGTCGAACATTTTAATCGAACCGCATCGAGCATGAGTTCTTTAGTTAGATCATCCGGAAACTAAAATCATATATGGTTTTAGGTTACGATCTAAGATTCTTTTTTCATAAGCAAGTAGTCCAGACGTTCCGTTCAGATGGTTATTTATGATAATGATGTCTGGTTGGTAGCGTGAGCAATCGTCAATAAGCCAGTCTCCAGACGCAACAGTTGTTAGTACATTTATCCCAGCATCCTGCGCAAATCCCACTAATGTTTCTCGGTCCATACTACTATCATCCGCAATAATAGCAGTTAACGCATTTTCTGACAATGAGTTTTTCCTCCTATTTTTTCTGTTTTCGCCCCTTTTCGACAACTTTCTCTCCATATAACAACTATTTCAGTCCACTTGCGCCTTCTGATACTATTGACCCATAAGTATTGTATAATCGTACTATAAGTAGTACGAAGTTAAGGCAAAAAGAAGCACATCATACACGGAGGTTTTAGCATGAAAAGAGATATTATGCTTTTAGTAGAAGAAGACACAGCAACCAACAACGTTAGTGTATATTCACCAGACTATAGATTGGGTGCTGTTGGTGATACAGAACAGGAGGCAATCGCTTGCATTATGGATCTTATTGACATTGAGGTCACAAAATCTCAAGCTGAAAAAAGATATTCATCCAAGTGGGTATCCGTATCCATGGAAGAGTCTCCTCCTTTAACAGCCGTATAAGTCAAGCTCTAAGTCTTTCGCCTAAATGGTGTTAGAACTGATTACATAAAAAGGGGATTCCTTTACATAGGAGCCCCCTTACCGTTTGATTATTGATTTTATCATCAGCGGTAACCAGGCTGCCGTAGTTCAATAATTTAAAAAAACTTTAGGCCCTCAGCTTTGCGTCCCTGCTTTTCAGCAAGTTTGCCTTTTCATATATTATATAGAACAACTTAAATTTAATATCGCTGCTTTACATTAAAAATATATGTACATAATAACACATTATCGACTACTAGTTATCCAGGCTTCACCATATATAGTTTGAACTTTATTTCTCCCTCGATCTGGAACTAATTCCGCCTGACAGTACTTACAATTTATCATGTCAATATCTCGGGATAACGTTACAACATATACTGCTTTGCATCTACAAAAGATCTTATACACTTCCTTACTATATCTATGATCATAAGCTTCGCAGCGAATCTGGGACTGTTGTTCAAGTTGATTGGCGTCTCCACTCATTTTCTCTATATTTTCAAATGAAAAGTCTGCAACAAGGCGTGGATTAAGTCCCAAGATTAACTCTCCCTCAGAGTTCACAAAAACTGTTGAGCTACGGTAGCATTCTAACCAATCTAATTTTTGTTGTTTAGTTTACTTCATATTCCCTTTCATGCCACTATTCAATGTATAGGTCATATTAACGGTAAACGTTTTCGATGACATTCTTCCTCCTTGAATTTCTGTTTTCTAAAAACGGTGTTTGTCAATTGTCTAAATTCCAGTATAGATTAAATTCTACCGTAAGGAAATAACTACTGAGAATACAAACCAATGTTGTTTGCGGCATTCTCAGTAAAATGAATTCATACGGATATAATTATTTAAAATTGCGTCAATGAGGTAATAGCTCTTTCACTTTTGACTAAGCATAGCAATGGTAGTTACAAAGTCTGAACATAAGCTATAGCCAGAAGAATCAAAGTCATCGTATTTAGTTATAGCTAAAATATAATGCTTTCAAATAAGCATCTATTTCTTGTTCATAGTAATTAATTTCTTTAGTTATTAGTTCCCTGTCTTCCATTGGTAATAACCGTCTTTTTACTCTTAAATCATCTAGCTGCTGACGAGTTTCTTCTATTATAATGTTTTCTTCTTTTGAGAGTGTCTCTTCAGCTAGATAAGCAGTTACTGAAGCTTGAATTTTAGGAATATTCAGTTCCCTACTTACTACAGCACGGTGATTACCTCCCGAATTAACAACATACTTCCCGTCAGGAAACATTTGAAGATGCATTCCCTGCGGAGCAGGATCCTTCCAGCCCATTTCCTCGACTTTAGAAAACAGATCTTCCAACTGCGATTCTACGGGTACCCGGGATAAGCCAATTATTAGGCATGGGTCTACTTCTTGTAATCCTAATTCTATAGATAAATACTTTTTATTCGATTCATATTCCTGTATGAGCACAATAGAATCAGCATAGTCTCGAAACAAAATTTGTCCCCCTTCAGTTCGAGTTAATATATTATGGAATATTTTAAAAATGTCAACAATAATAATAAACACTTTAGTTTACATAATTATAAATATGTTGCTTAATTATTGTAAATTCTTAAACTCTTTAATTATCGAAACTTAAAGTTATTGTAATGTAATCGATGAAAATGTTAAAGTACGTGTTCAAAAAAATAAAGAAAGACAACTCCAAACGCTTTGGAGTTATCTTTCTGCTTAACTAATATTCCAGCTTTTATATGCTTTAATTAACATAAGTTTCTCCAAAAAATAAAAAGTTTCTATAGGGTTTGTGATTCCTGACTTTCCATGAATCTCTTATAGCCTTCTTCTTCTCCAAATTCCTGTAGCGGCTCACTAAAATCATACCTCTCTCCTACTTTAATCAAATTCGGAATTGAACAAAGAGTAAGTGGTGGCATACGTTCATTTTTAATCGGTTCAGCCGAAGACCAGTCTTTTCGATCAAAAGCACCTGGTCTCAATAATTGTGGATGTTTGATGAACCTCGGGATGTGTCCCTGTTCTAAATAATCTTCAAATCCCCTATCCCTATCATTATAAGGGATCATGATCTGGATTACTTGATTTCCTGTACAGAGAACCATCCAAGCGTATGGTAAATTTGAAGGAGCATCTAACCTTCTAAATAAAAGGTACACTTCAGGTAAAGGAAACACATGTTTTCCATCGATAAATTTAGTGTATGCATACAGTTGTACCAGTGGATGCTTTAAAACATGTTTTGTTTCTTTAATCCAACTTAACGTTTCAGGAAATTCTACAAAATCAGCTTCATCCATCATGGTAAGTGCCATCTTTACGTATGCTTTATAGACGGCCATCGGTATGTATGTTCCTCTCTCCAAGCTTACACTGATCTCCCCGGACTGTTCATCGTAAGCAACAAGTTTGGAATAGCGTTCATCAACTTCAATTTGGACAATATCTCCGTGAGCTTGTATATCAATGATTCCCTCTCGTTTATGCGTAGGAATCCCCCTTTTTCCTTGGAGTAAGGTAAGCGTTCTAAATGGACTACTGTAAATTCCAAGTTGATTCTCTATATGTTGACCAAAATCACCATTACAGTTATCACATTCGTAATATGAAACCACATGTTTGTTACCCAACAATTCAGGTATGGCATGAGCCGCTTTCCTAAATTTCTTTGTATTCGTTAGTCCACAAAATCGGCATTTTCTTTTGTTCTTGTCCCCTAAAGCTAATTCTTGATCTAGTAAAAAATATTGTGTCCGGTAATATTTAGAATAGAATATCGCTTCGTTGTTCTTCATAAATTTCACCCCTAACTAATTATACTAAATAGATTATAATTAGTTGGACAAAAAAATGATTCCTTATAATATTATCCATAATAACTAGAAAAAACACGTCTTCTACCCTTGTAAAGGTATGCAGACGTGCTTTGTATGTGTATGTATTAGATTAGACAACCAATCTGAGCCAATCTAACTAATATCAATCTTATATTCGGCTCTATTTATGCTATAGGGATTGCTACTCGTACCTTCTCGAATACGACATTTTCTTCAAGTTCTTCAATTTTTCGATTTTGCAACTCTATCTTTATCAGTGCCATGGCCATAGTACGTGCTCCTTCTGTATCGGTTGCCCGTACTCCAAGTCTCAAGGCAGGTATATACGCAGTTACCTGTTCTGCTTCTTGCTGTTCGAACATAACCATCAGTCGAATTCCATTAATTTGAAGTGTTTCAATTCGTGCATCATCATGACTACATTGATCCTGTAGGCGACCTTTCTCCATTTCAATCTCAACGAGGTCCACAGCATTCATACGAGCTTCTTCCATGGTGTCCCCATGTGCCCCCAGTTTTAAACAAGAGATGTACGCAGTCACGTTCTGTTCAGCACGATCCTCTTCAAACATAACTAGCACTTCCAACTCATTCCTCATTACAATTTCCCCCTCAATGTAATTAATGTAGATATTAGGCTCAGAAGTTGAATACTATTAAGTATCCATTGTTAAAATCAATATAAGGTATACAAAAAAAAACCATCGAAACACAAAAAACACCCTACTCGGTGTCTATGTCTCCATGGCTAAATAGCTCAAATTTGTTATGTACCAGGTAATGCTGGTGTTTACTCCATCACTGTCAACTCAGGTGGCAGTGAAAATAGATTAAATCGTAATAATCTATTTATACTACAGTCTACAATTTTCGTCAAATACTCTGTTTAGTCAGCTAAATTATTGGAAAAATTTCATTTTTCTGCTTACAATATAAATGTTTTTAAAAAAGACAGTTGCTGTCACTGCAACTCGGGTGGATTTTGAATTATTAGGGGGCTATATGACCATTCATGCCTATAAAACCTACGCCTTCGGATTCGAAAGAGATTACGCCAGTTACCGTGAGCCAAGGTAAAATTTATGTACAAGCAGTTGCTAACGGAAAAGATTCCAAGGCCAAGGCTCAGCTTAAAGACAGCAATATTAATGTAGCGATAGAACAGCAAGTTAACTAGTGTAAACCCAAAGGACTTGGAAACACAACAAGGGTAAGAGCCAAAACATGCTCCAAATGGCTAGTGCCATCGAATGGTAGTGCCTATTTTGTGGCATTCATCATGACCGAGACATCAATGCAAGCTGAATATACAAGCCGAAAGGGATGAGACAGCTTCAAGCCGCGTTTATGCTCGTCCGCACAACTTTAGAACTGAAGGAATTGCGGAAATCGCTTGGGCAATAAGCCTAAACGTGGCTCGGCTGTATGTCAGGAAATCGTCGCGGTTTTAATCCACCTCTGTGGTTGTAGATTCATCTTCATTCGCATCAGCTCCATTATAGTCAACTTCAAATTGAGATTGACGAGTATTGCAATCGTTCCTTTTTGATTATTGGTCGTTTACGATTGAACGGGATTCTTCCGCAATTTCCACTTAGGTTATCCGGAGTCGGGCTGCTGGAAGAAATGACGTTAGGCAGTGTTCAAGTGAAGCTGCGCATTGTGAAGACCCAACTTTCGACTTTCTTGAGAAAGTGACACTCGTTTTCAAACTCTGCCGGCGTAGGCAACTTGATCTTTTCGCCAGTTTGTTGATTCTTTTGTAAGATTCGATCTGGTCATTTAGCATCAGGTTGTAGACTTTGCTTACACAGCCGGACATCTTAGCGAAGAACTCGACCTGCTGCTTGTTCGGTTCCCAACGATATTTCAATGCTTTAAGCACCCCAATTCTACCTCTACTCCAACGCAAACAGGAACGTACGTACTCGTTTTATGTTGCACACCAATTCTCTTCCTATCAAGTCCAAAATGTTATCATTCTCACTTCTGACAACTCCACGTTAAAAAGCTGATTGGTTTAAAACTAATAGTCAAATAGTTCTTTCAAGCTTCTTATCAAAGGTTGGTTTGGTTACATATTCCATATAGGAAGTTTTGCCATTGTAATTTAAATATACCTCGTAACGAGCGCGTATGGCTTCAGATTTAATATAATCAAGTACTACATTCTTATCTACCCAACAACTTTCTGATGTTTCCTCTGAAGTAGTAAGTACTCCACCTATTTGCTGGCATAGAAAATCTAAATTTATTTTAGTAGGTACATCAGTTATACCATCATACCATTTGTACTCTCCGGTATTCGAATAAACTCCAATCATGTAAGAAACATCTACATCAATTCCACTTTCTTCTTTAACCTCTCTTCTCAGAGCATCTATTAAATTTTCGCCTACTTCAACTTGCCCACCAGGAAAGACCCAACCTCCGTGAATTGTTTTTACAATAAGTATTTCCCCTACCTCGTTTTCTACGATTCCACCCACCGTTACTAAATGAGTTGGCATAAAAACCATTATCATCACCTCAGAGTTTTTCATTAGCAAATAATTTAGCATGAAGGGTAAGCAGTTAGTTTTCTCATTTAGTAATCAGTTTACTAAAAAATACTAGTAAACACAAAGAAGACCGGAGACACACTTGGAAAAAACACAAGAGATAAATAGACTACTGGCGAACTGTAAGTTAGTATATGTGTGAAACGAAGCTATAATAATCTGTATGTCTTTACACGGAAGAGAAATGGTCTTTTCAGATATGGACATGCAGGATTAATCGCGCTAAATATGTTATGGTGAAAATGTAGGAATAAAAAGTTCCGGCTGGTAAATCGAAGAGTGTTAGTTGATCGGTATCTGTAGATCAGAAACTGCAGAGTAAGTTGATGAAAAGCGTTTGGTATTACCTGTTGGAAGAAAGCAAATCAAAGCGTTTAAGATCATGAGGAAAACAGAAGTACCTTGCATATTGGTTACATTAGACATTTCTTTGCATAGTAAGGGATTTACATGAATCATAAGATGGTGATCCATCACATATATCGCATAATCATCTTCCTGAAAAGATCGGATGCATACTGGTCCGAAAATAGTAACGAACACTTCATGGAGGGAGTACGTTGAGTATGAATGAAAGCTCTCGGTATCCCTAAACAAGTGGAGTTCCCCTATACAATGACAAGACATAGAATATCAATATAAGTTTCAGATGCTTCAGCAAAATCTTGTAGAGCAATTTATATGAATTCGAACGTGTCTAGAAAGAGCAAATGTTTGGATAATCCTTTCGGTGAAAGTTTTACTTTTAAAGAATCAGAATGTGGTTTATGCCTTCAAGCACACGTTTTTGAAGAGCTATTTCCTTCGGCATCCATTATTATACGAGTGAACAAATACGACAGATTCCAAACAAAACTAAACAACCTGAGTCCAGTGGAGTACCGGACTAAGGCTGCAAGTAACTTTATCTTTATTATAGATATCAAGGAATATCTAATTTACTAATGGAAACATAGATACAATGACGAACTGCTATGTTGTAATTATAATTAATAATTCATAGCAAGTTCTTCATCTCAAACGTTTTTTCAATGGTTTATATTGTGGTGATAAATAAGTCTTCCCCTTACTTCCATTCTGTATTTTTTTCTATATATGAAACAGCGGTATTAATTCGCTCTCTTACCTCAGTTTCATTTTTTCCTATCACATATACTACTGCATAGTTTTGTGATGATTTATTAATATCTTTATAGCAAGTTCCTGGTTCACCTTTTCTTCCATAACGGAAAACCCACGGGAATGGGAGATCTAAAGGATAAGAAACAAGAGTTCCCTCTTTAGGAGGAACAAAGTAATTACCGATAGAACTATCATTCTCTTGCAAAGGTAGATGGAAATCTTTAGTTAGACCCAGTTGAGCACGAGAAACATATTCATCCAAATCAATTTTAAAAGCATATTTCAAAAGATTCTGGACACTACCCCCACCGGTACGACTAGCAATTTCACACAGAACTAATTCCTCGTTTGGAGTATAAAAAAACTCTGCATGAAAACTCATAACTTCAGGTGTTGGCATACTTTTGAGAATTTTTTCTGTCTGTTTCAGCATAATCGATCTTAGAGGATGGTCTGTTTCTAATAGTGCATGACCTATTCCTTTTGATTCGAGGTAGGAAAGGCAAGTATCAATGTATGAAAACACACATCCAAATACAATTTTTCCATTCTCATAAATGCCATCTACGTGATACATTTTACCCGTAATAAAAGATTCCACCATTAAATCAGAGTAACTATCATTTAAATCCAGCCATACAGCAACTTCTTTGCTGTTTCTTAATATAAATGTATTTTTCGAGTCAAAACCTAATTCTGGCTTAATAACAACCGGATATCCATGGGTTTTAATGAAGTCATACAGATCAATTGCACTGTTTATTTTCCGAAATGGTGCAACATGAATATTATTTTTTTGCAGAATTTTTTTCATTTCAACTTTATTTCTAAAAGCAATCGCGCTTTCAAGAGATTGCCCTCTGATTCCTAGATAGGATCTTAATCTCCCAGCTCTTACAATATCGCCTTCTTCAAGCGCTATAACCGTATTATATTTTTCAGTTTCGTAAAGATGAATTGCTTCCCATTCTAACATACTATTTTTTCCGTAATCAGAAAAAGATTTCAAATAAGCAGCATCTTTATAAAATTCTTCACTTGTAGAATCATCATTTAAGAATAACAAGTCTTCATTCGATTCTCTAAACCATTCTGAGTAATCTTTCCTGTGCTTCGAGAACCTATTTATAATTAAAATAGAAATTGCTAATCCCTCCAAATAACTTGTTCTGAAAACCATTTGTCCAATATAATCATACGTTCTTCTACTTCATTTTCATTCTCTCCTACAAAAATAACTGTTGCAATGGAGTCAGAAGAAACCAACATGTTTCGGTTCAATCTTTTGTTTTTGTGATAATTTATTTGGTACTCCACAACCCAGTCAAATGGTAAACTATCTGGCAAATCATATAGCAGACCTGCACGTTTTGGTACAAAATACATTCCTGATAATCCTTCAACATTCTTACGTTCCAGTTCATAATTTATGTCACAGTCCATCTTTATCCAGCATTCATTAAGGTCAACACCATGAGTTACTTTAATTGCTTCTGATAGCCTTCCACCACCTGTTCTACTAGCAATCTCACAGAATATAAGCTCATTTTCTGGAGTTATAAACACCTCACAATGAAATGAACTGAACTCAGGAAGCGGTAGACACTTACCAAGTTCATAAATATACTTAGAAAGTTTGGGGTATAACGGATTATCGGGTGAAAGTAAAATACATCCAAGACCTTTATTCTCTTTATACGACAGACAATTATTGAAGTATCTTCCTGCGGATACGAATTCAATTTGATGATTTATAATGCAGCCATCAATATGATAAACATCTCCAGCTATAAATTCTTCTACCATCAAATTTGTACTGATTCCTTTTTCCAAGTACACTCTTAATTCTGACAGATTATGAATGATATCAGTATTTCTAGAGCCCATAC